TACCCTAACCCTACACTAACCCTTTCAGTATTTCAAAATGTTCTTCACTAATGAGATGATTGAACACATCACACCAATTTGTACTCTGCTCAAGAGCTGGGGGATAAAATCAAGACTAGCCCTGAAGAAATACAGCATTTCCTAGCGATCCTTCTTTTTATGGGTGTTTTCAATTTCCTGTCACTGGAGGACTACTGGCACCATGAATCATGCTTTGACCTGATTGCTGACACTGACTGAAGATAGGAAAAATTAAAATGTAATATTTCCTTGTTTGACGCAATGTTTTTCTTGGTTGAAATTAAAATCAGTCAACAGGGTCTGTTGATTGTGTTTTTTGTGGCATTTTGACAGAAATAAACTGTATCCATTACCCCAGACATTTTTTTGTTGTTTATTTCTTCATAAATTAGCATTTTATTTTAATTTATCTACTGTACTTGGTATTTTTATTAGGTCATGTACAAACCTAGTGATGGTTGAAAAGTTTAAATTAGTTAGTAATAGTGAAAATTATGATTTCCCCATATTTATTCTAAAATTTTACCATATTTGTTAATATCAACTCAGAAAGTCACAAAAATTCTTTTGTAAGATAATGCCATAATTATTATTAGTGTATAACACTGTAATAACACTTCTTGTTTCATATTTGCACCAATAGAGGAAAATGACTTGATTTTATACTAAAGAAATAAATGTCAACTACATTAGCTTAATTTGCTACATTTATTATTAACTTGCATCTCTATTTCCAAAACCACAGGGTCTGTTGAAAAAAAATATTGATTGTGTTTATGAATCACCCTAGGGTAAAAGAAATGCAAGGAAAAACATTTTCACAAGTTTTTTTCTTTTTGTGGTTGTCAAAGAGTTAAACCATTAAGTGACCATCTCAACCGTTTGGTAGAGATCAATATTTCCAAAACCACAGGGACTGTTGAAAAAAAAAATTGATTGTGTTTATGGATCACCCTAGGGTAAAAGAAATGCAAATAAAAAAATTTTCACAAGTTTTTTTCTAGGTGCGGCAGTTAAAGGGTTAAAGTTAAAAACATAAACATGTTTTTATTGTGATTCCAGTGTTTTTATGAATATTGTGGAGGGTTTTCCGGGGAGCTGCCGGAGCGTCATGTGGAGATTCCAGATCATCTGAGCTGGAAGTTCATTCGCTGCTTTGAAGTCTGAACTCCTGGCCGACGAACAGAACCTCCTCAGACGGGTCGGAACCACAACACCGGACCTCGTTTCGAAAACCTCGGCTCATCCCGGATTCCGGATTCCTGAGTGTCGGGAATCTGCAGTGAAGCTTCAGAGACGTTTGTCTCCTCAGCTGAGCGACGCCGCGGCTCCAGCTGTGCCGGCCCAGTAATCTCCACACTTCCCAGTTTCCCACGCTGAGCTCATTCCAGAGCCACTAAACAATGCCGGAGTCCGGCCGCCCCCTCCCCCGCCGCCCTGGGTTCGCTCTCAGATTGGTGTAATTTACAGCAGCTGGCCGCGCCGCAGGAAAACAGGACTGGTTGGGAAACACGGTTTTCCCACACAGATCCAGGGTTCCTGAAGGGGCCGTGGATTCAGAACCACTGGATGAGTTCTGCTCCATCCGGAGAGTCTTCAGATGTGAGACTTTAGTCACTGAAACGTGTTTATTATTCTCTTTTTTGACCTTTCTGCAAAGTTAAAACACAAAGCCGTGTTTTCCTACACACGATACAGACCATAAACGCCTCGTTTGTTATCCAGATCCTCCTGAAGCCGGTGACATCATGTCTGAATAAAAACCTGCTTCTGTTCCTTTAAGGCCTCGTTTTACTGTTAATATTTATTCCACCACCTTCCAGGTAAAAACATGGGATTATTCTGTTTGACCGGAGCGGATCTGCTGGATTATCTGCTGGATTAACATGTTTTCTGATTTCATCACCGCCTCTCTCTGCTGCACTGGACCTGTACAGGAAGTAAAGTCAAAGAAAATCTAATTCAGATGCTTCCTGTAAACGTCTCCAGGTTTTAATAAAGCATAAAGTCTGGTCCCGACATAAAGACTTAAAATAAATGATTTAAACTGATCTGTTGTAATCAGGAAGTTATTTTTGTGGCCAAAGAAAACAAGATCACCACGAGCAACTTCTTCTGATTTCTTTGGCAATCCTCGACGCCGACGACAAAACTCTGTCTGTCAGAGAAAATCTGATCCAACACAACAAACTGAACATCAAACCAGAGTAAAGCTTTGATTCAGATCATTCAGTTCCCCAGGATTCAATGACTAAAGTTAACCCTGAGTTAAAGTTTAAATAAAGTAAAAATGAAACATTCAGCCAGCTGAGCTGAATCTGTGAAGTTCTGTGATGAAGAGGAAACTTCAGACCTGCTGCAGACAGAAAACGCTCCTCTGTTCTACCACAACCTAAAAACTGGTCCAAGAAAATAAAAAAACATCAAACTCGTTAAAATTTATGTTCAGATCCTGAACTTCTTCAGGCTTTATGACTGCAAAGGTTATCTTATCGTCCCTGATCTTTAGTTTTAGAAAACAGAAACATTTCATGGTGCAACATAAAACTTCAAATTGTGCAGAGAGGATAACATCCTCATTTCTGCTGCTTCAGCGTTACCTTCTCTGTAAAAACACTTTATTTTATTTGGCGTTCCTCTACGCTGACGACACGTTCCTATTCCACTAAAATCAAATAAAGTGTCTAGTCAAAGAAAACAGCATTAAACTAAGTTATGATTCAGACCAGGAACGACTCCAGAAAACTTTTCAACATTTTGATGAAATAAGAAAAACATCCAGAAAGGATGAAACATCCTGCATGACGTCTTCTGGTTTTATGTCTGCTGTGCAGGAAGCAGCTTGATCTATACCAACAACTTGTTTAATATAAACTATGACTGATGACTCGTCGTCTGTCCGGTTCTGGTCTGAATGTCCAGTCTTGTTGGGTCTATCAGCGGTCCAGCACAGAGGACGGCGGTTCTGAACCGGAGCGGACGCTTCAGCGCTCTTCATCAGGGAGGAATCTGGAGAGTTTGGCCCTCAGCTTGTGTCTCCAGAGCGGCTCGGTCTGATCCGACCAGTTTTCTGCTGCAGGATTTCATCTGCTGTGAGACCAAGCAGTCTGAGTTTAGGTTTTTAGACCAGTTATGATTTAATTCAGCCTTTAATCCAGTTCCTGCTCCTGTTAGGCATTTCCTTCAGACTCTGGTTTAAATCCAGCTCTCGTGTCCGAGTATCGTTTTACAGCAGGCTGTCCCATGTTGTGTCTTCTGTTTGTCTCCAGAGGACGTGGCCCGTCTTCCTGCCTGAGCTTCAACCAGATCTCAGTCCTGGTTAAAACTAACTGCAGGTTTTCAGCTGCAGAGCTCCAGGCCTCCATTCCTCCTCCTCCTGCAGGTTTTCTTCTTTGTGGCGCTTTCATGTGGCCCCGGGGCCCGTCTCTGCACAGTCGAGTCAGAACACGTCGCCTTCCTGCCGCACTTCAAAGAGTCCAAACACACCAAGTTACAGGGAGCGCTGAGCTCACGGCGGGTTTCCTGAGATTACAGACGAAGCTTTGTCCTCCTCAGAGGACAGGTGTCCCACATCAGGACCAGACCCCATCAGGCTGGTCTGAACCAGAAGGACCAATAAACTGTCAGATTTTGGTTTATGGCCTTTGGCTGGTTCTTCCTGGTTCTGGTCGGAAACAGCTGGAGGTTCTGAGAATAAACGGATTCAGGAAGAAACACGTTTCTCCACGACCGAGTCAGAGCTCAATGAATCTATTTCAGAGTCACGACTGAGAAACAAGGTCAGACAAGGTCAGAAGGTCAGAAGGTCAAGATCCACAGAGGAAACAAAGTAGAGAAATGTTTTCTTGGTTTCAGACAGAATCAGAGACTTTCAGACATCAAACAGATTCAGCTACAAAACATCCAACAGAGAACAGACAGTGAGGAAGACAGCGATGAAGACAGCGATGAAGACAGCGATGAAGACAGCGATGAAGACAGCGAGGAAGACAGCGATGAAGACAGCGAGGAAGACAGCGAGGAAGACAGCGATGAAGACAGCGATGAAGACAGCGATGAAGACAGCGATGAAGACAGCGATGAAGACAGTGAGGAAGACAGCGATGAAGACAGCGATGAAGACAGCGAGGAAGACAGCGATGAAGACAGCGATGAAGACAGCGATGAAGACAGCGATGAAGACAGTGAGGAAGCAGATGGAGCATTAATAACCAGAAAAATGAAGAAAACATCCAAAACATGCAGGAATAATTTCAGACATCTTTAAATCGTCTGGAGATCAAAACCATCCAGTTTCCACCATCAAGTCGCAGCTGAACTGAACAAACTCCAGTCACCACCAATAATAGATCACCAATAATAGATCAGCAGATGTACAAATATCTACATTTAAAGACCCTAACATCATCATCATATTTGCTAATAACATTTTAACTTTAGTCATTTTCTTTTTCTTATTTAATTTATTTCATTCAGGCTCTTCAGCAGAAACATCTGCAGCACATTTACGCCCAAAGATTTCCTGAATCTCCCAGAGAACTTGAATCTAACACCAGATGATGTGTTCAAAGGTGGCTGGTACATCAGAACCCTGAGCCTGAGCCGAGCCCCAGGTCAGAACCATCCAGAACCCCCAATGAAGAAACTCCTGAACAGAGCAGAACAGAGATCCACCACAGCCTGCAGACTTAAATGATCTGAGGTCAGAATGATCTGCAGTAAAGTTCCTGATGTCCAGCAGCGTTCCTGACCGGCACCCAGAAGTCCCTAATCTGAACCCAAAGTTCCCAAGGTTTCCAATCTGCCCCAGATCCCTTCCAGACAGCAGCTGTACTTCAGTGAAAACCAATTTTTAGATATTTAGTGACCAAGGTCTCCAAACGGCGCAGTGGAGCAGCCAGCTTAGGCGCAGTGTGTGTTGGCGCAGTGTGTGTCTTGGGCCCGCAGCCCGGGCTCTTACCGAGGTGCAAGGTGAGGTTGATGGAGTTGGGGTACTGGATCCCCGCCAGCATGGTCTGGCTCTGCCACCAGGTGGCGTCCTGCTGGTTGTTGTAGTCGGTCAGGTACGCGGCGTTGTGGTGGTTCCGGGGGTCTCGCGCGTCGCAGATGTGGCAGGACTTGGTGACCCCGGTGGCGCCGGTCTGGACGCAGTACTCCTCCGGCGGGGAGCCGCAGGTGTTGGTGGCCTCCACCGTCACGTTGAAGGCCGCGTTCACGAACTCCGGCATGCAGCGCTGCGGTCGGCCCTGCTCGTCCGCGCACTCATCCATGGCGCCGCGGACGCACACCGCGGCCACCCAGCTGCACGCCACCAGAGCCCGGATCAGGTTCTGCATCCTGCCCGCCCGCTCCGTCCTCCCGATCGGCCGCAAAACTCCCATCGGAGCTTTCCTGAAACTTTCCCAAAGTTTCCCCGTCAGTTTCCCGCAGGAACGATCCCGGACTGGAAGATCCTGGAAAACGAGGAGCGACTGGTGGCTCCGGCTCCGCGGCTCTGTGCTGCTGCTCTCTGGCTGTCCGAGGTCGCTCTCAGCTCTTTGTGTCCGCCGCCATGCACCCACAACTCCAGCAGGAAAAGACGGGAGTCCAGACTACACCCAGTCCGCTACTGCGCAGCTCCGAGGCGCACAGGCTGCGGAGAAGAGTCCGCCTCTTCCTCCGGAGTCACCAAATCACCGCAGAGCCGCTGCGCACCCGCAATCACTGCGCAAACTTAAACACACTTTTCAAAGTCCGGTCTGCGCCGAATCACGTGTTTAATATTCAGGTCAGAGTTGAAGTTGCTGCTGCGTGGAAAAACTCCCAGATTTAGGAAAACCAGCGGAGGATTCCCGGAGATGAACTTGAGTTTGATAAACATGAAACTGATCCTGGAGCAGATTTCGGTCCTGCTGGAAAAACTCCCCTCACAGGAGGGAGGACAGAGACCCCTAGTGGACAAAGGCATGAACAGGATTTCTGGTACTTATTCCACAATATTCAGGATGAGGATCATCCATCCATCCATCCATCCATCCATCCATCCATCCATCCATCCATCCATCCATCCATCCATCTGTTCATCCATTAATTCCATCCATCCATCCATCCATCCATCCATCCATCCATCTAACCATCCATCCATCCATCCATCCATCCATCATCCATCCATCTAACCATCTAATCATCCATCCATCCGTCCGTCCTTGGGTCGGGAGGGGTTCTGGTTCTCCAGTGAACGCTTCGGGCGAGCGGCGGGTCACCTGGACAGGTCGCCAGTCCATTTGGATCAAATATTCTAAAAATCTTTTAGATATAAAATTTCCTTTTTATTTGATTTTTCTACCTTGTAGTTTGGATGTTTAGTTCATCTGGAACCAAACAAACTTTAAAATCAGAAAATGTTTGTTTTCTGATGGTAATAAAAATTTACACTTTGATTTTTACAGAATAAATCATTCTGATATTTTTATTAAAATCTAAATAAAGAGAAAAATGTTTATTAAAAAAAATATTCCCATATTAGGGGCTGCACTGTGGTGCAGCTGTTGCCTTACAGCAAGAAGGTTCTGGGTTCGATTCCCAGCCTCAGGTCTTTCTGCATGGAGTCTCCATGTTGTCCCTGTCCAAAAACATGACTGTCAGGTTAACTGGCCTCTCTATGTTCTCCCTAGGTGTGAGAGTGCATGGTCTCTGTGTTGCCCTGTGACAGCCAGGTGACCCGTCCAGGTGACCCGTCCAGGTGACCCCACCTCTCTCCTGAAACGCTCTGGAGAGGCAGCAGCAGCTCCTGACCCACTAAGGGGTGTGAGATGATGGACTCTTACATTAAACCTCCTGAAAGGTGTAAAACCTGCCAGTGTGGCTGGTCGCTCTGCAGCAGGTTGTGGGTTTGAGTCCCAGGTCTCTCTCGGTGCTCCAGCTTCCTGCCACTAACGAACTGATACAAAACCAGGTTTAAGTTTCCGTTTTTAAATATTTTGCATATATTGACTTAGTCTAACATTCTTCCTATTGGGACCTTTTCATGTGCAGTAATAAAAATCTGCTTTTATAGTTTAATATTGGAACTGTGAAAAATAAAGTGTATGCTCTTCATATATTTACAGCTTTTTCACTCCCATGTGCTGAAACGGCCGGCTTCAGTTTTAGTTGTTCAGCATTTTGTTGGATTATAAAAACCAACAATAATAAAAGTCATTGAAATATCACATATAATAAACTTAAAGACATGAAGACCAGAAAAATATTTGGTTTGGTCAGTTTGAAACAGAGTGAAGCTTGGTTAGAAGATCAGCTCATCGTCTGCATATCGGTGATTCTGTAAAAACGGAGCCGGATAAAAACCAGGTGGGACCAAAGAATGAGCCCTGAGGAACACCTGGTCCCGGAAAATCAGTTTATTCCAAGAAAAACGCTGAAGCAGGAGCTCAGAGGAGGGAACTGATCACTAACAGGAACAATTTATGACATCGTTCAAACATTTTCCTCCTGCTGGAATCAGAATGAAGCAACATTCAGATGTTTTTACGTTTTGAACCAAAATGTCCAAGAATTAATTAAAAACCAAAAACTCATCGACAGTCCAGGACTCTGCGTTTCCAGATCAGAGGATCAAACCACAAGTCTTTGTCCCATCAGTTGATCAGCTGATCAACCTGCAGATTGATCACAGCAGGTCAAAACTCCAGGACTCAGGTAGATCATTCAAGGATTAAATGGGATAAAAATGATTTTAAATAAACATCTGAACAGATTTTACTACAAAACTGAACCTAATCCAACTTAAAATTAATCAAACTTCACCAAATGTTCCACATTTATTATTATTTTCTTTTAGTTTCTACAAGAGAAGAATCTGGAGGAAGACGAGACGTCAACTCCGCCCCCTGCTGGTGCTTCTAGAGAACTACACATGTAAAACCAACGTCTCATCTGGTCCATAAGGTTTCTGGTCCGATCAAAACAGGCGATGAAGAGGAGCAGGCGATGAAGAGGAGCAGATGATGAAGAGGAGCAGATGATGAAGAGGAGCAGCTTCAGGTGGAAACATCTCAGATTTATTGGAAACATCAATAAAAACAAACATGGAGGCTCAAGAGAAACAGACTGGAGGGAAAAAGATCTGCTGTACAACAGGAGGTCTCACTCTGTTTAATATCCGCCCCTGTACCCCCCCCCCCCCCTTTGACTCCCCCTCTCCCCCCCACCCCCCCCCCCC